GGTTCGCCGCAGCCCTCGGGCCTCCCGGCTCGGGGGGTCGGATACCCCGGAGGAACGGTCTGCCACGTACTGATCGATCGCTCTTGCCACATTTACTCAGAACTAGTTTTCTTCCCCTCCCCTTCTATTTTGGTGGGAGGAGGGAATGTATTTAATTAAGACTCTACTCCCCCACCTTTTTTTTTGTGTGTGTGTGTATTTCTTGGCCAGATTTCAATTTCAAAATAGAGGTTGCTTGAGGGCTGGAGGAGAATTGGGACACTGTGGACAAATGCCTGTGACTTAACTACATTGTCCACTCGAAATGAGCCATCTTCCCAAGTTCATCATAATCGGATGACAGGTGGAAAATTCCAAGGGTTAGGAGCTGCCATTCTTTGAGGTTACACGTGTGAGGGACATAATAGAAGGTTCAAGAGAAATAGCCTAAAGTCACTTTGTCCACCAACAGGTATGCGCGTCCCCGCGTAAAATTGGTTGTTTTACAAAGGCTTAGGGAGCTCGCGCTGTCTTTAATGAGAGCTCTTTTTTTTCTGGTACTTTGCAGTTAGAATAACAGAACATGTCTAGGGCACCTTAAAGTTAAGACATTTCTTTCGCCTCGTCTCATTTTCTACGTGGAACATCTTGCCCTTGGTTAGCAGGGCAAACACAGCTGTGCTAGGTGGTCCGTAGAAGCCCAGGTTGCACCAGCTTGTTGGTGCTGGTGACTGAGAAGTTCCCTAATGCTGCTTCCTTAGCTTTAGGGGATCATCTGCCGGGTAGCACCTTGCCTCGATGAGCTTTGTTCCTGTGTTGGGAGAGAGGGCCACCGGTGGGTCTACTGCAATTACAGCGTCGTTACACTCAGGATCTTGCATCCGAGAGGGCCGTCTCTCCTTAGCTCTGGTGGGAGGCCATGGGAAGCTCTGTTTGGATTGGCGTGTGCCCATGTGTGATGGTGGTTAAAGGCCCTAATTTCATGGCCAGTCACTCAGCTGGTTTAACGTCTCCATCCGCCATGGATCAGAGCAGGAGAGAAGGAGGAAGATCTGGTTCCCCCAAAAGGAAGCTACTGAATAGATCGCTGAGAGAGAGATGATGGTGATCTCGTGGTGTCAGTTTTAACGATAAGACTGTTGGGCTGTAAAGATCATTAATTTGATATTTAGTATGAGCATTTTTTTTAAAAAAAAGTTAACCTAGGAATACTTAGGCATTCTTTAGAATTAACAAACTTTAACAGAAATTTGCAAAACAACTTTTATGTAGGCATGAGTAGCATTCAGTGAGGGTTTTCCATTAATAATATTTAAAAAACATGGGTATAGTGAACACTGTGATAGCAATCTTATTGAATAGAGTGTTTGTTTTGGTACCAACCCTTAAGGAGCTTGGAGTTTTCGGTGACAATTGATGCATGGATTTAAGGCTAACGGACAAGAAAGAATGAATAGTGGATTGTGGTACTGATAGGGTTCTGGTGTGAACTTTAAACCTTCATTCATTTGTTTATCCCTTTATTCTTTTCCCAGGCATAAATGTGAAACTGTTCCTAGGTATAGGGCTGTTGCACAGATAGCGTCTTTGAAACTAACCATGTTTCTTTAGTCTCCTTTATACGACGATCCTCTCCTAGCTCATTTATCATCAACTACTCCCCCCCCCCCCCTAAAACCTCCCCCCCCCCCCCTGCTCTTCTTACTCTTCTAGTGGGGTTAGGATAAGTTAATAGATATACTACAGTCTATTACATTTTATAATGGAGGTCTGTACAAAAGTTTTTTGGGTATATATCTGTAAAAATCAAACATTTGTGAGAGATGGGTTCCAATCAAACAAAACATCTTTTAATAATTATGTTGGATAATTGTGTAAATAACATTAATTTACATATTTTTAACTTAATGAACTTTTAAATAACAATTTTCAAAAAGGAGGGGTTAAAATAATTCCTGAAGACAGGTGGTCTAGGACCATGCCCTAAAGCTTGGTCAGTACTGGTATACTGCTCTACAAATAGGTCCAGTGATGGAGCTGCCTTTTTATTGTTACTATCATGGAGATGTCCCAGTAAAATTTCCCAAAATACACATGTGTATTTGGTTGAGAATGAGTGTCATCCTGTATAAAGTGGCTTTAACTAAAAATTGATTAGAAGAGCCTTGATAAATGGTGAACTTTAGGGTGATCAGATGGGAATTCTGTATCATAATTTGTGTGTGTGTGGGCGGGGGGGGGTTGGGAGGGGGGAGAGGAAGCTCCAGTGTTCATGTCTTTTGTGATGATTGGTATTTTTAGAGAGAAAGCTTGGGGTCTCTTTCCATGAAAAAGTTTGGTTGTCAGCTTTCCGAAATTTTACTGGGGAATTGGATGTTGAGGATCTCAACAATCATGTATGCAGTCTTTTATATCATCTATTTTTAGTGTGGCACCTGTATCAGTTTTGGATTTAGCTGCATGTGGTAGATCTCAAGTCATCAGGGAGTTAAATTATGATTTTATTCCTGTGTAAACAGTTCGTAGAGAGGTAGTTCTGATAGTTCGTGGCTGGTATAGTGGTTCTGTGAAGTTGATCAGGCTCCGTCTCCGTCCAGCTTTCCACTCTGTACAACCTAGAATCCTTTTTCTCAGGGTCCAGATAGCAGGAGGGGAGAAAGGAGATAGTGGGAAACTGCTCCACAATACCCTGCTCATATGTAATTGGCCATTATATATGTCTGCATCTCATGGAAGGGTAGCATAAGAAAAGGAATTCTTATTAAAGGCAGCTGCATACCCTGCTAAAATCTGGATTTTGTTAGTAAGGAAGAAGGAGAGAGAATGATGTTGACAGCACTCCTAACCAAAGCTTCTCAATCCCCATCTTCCCCACCTAGCTGCGCTTGATATCCCTAACATTTCCTGTAAGTCTGCTCTCGGAATAGAGGATCTGGTAGTCAAGGTTTCAGAGATTTTCCCCTGCACTTTTCTCTTCCCAGCCTCATCTTTAAATCCTTTCTTCAGTGGTATCTCATGTTTCTTAATTCAGATTCTTGCTGGCTTCTCTGACATGACTTGACTTGGGATATTTTGTTAGCTCCCTGCCCTTCAGGCAGTTAGATTTTCAGCTTTCTCTGCTTCATTCACTTTTCACCTTTTACAAAATTTCACTGAAACCTGCTTGTATGCTGTTGTGCCCTTTCCCATTCTTATCTTTGTGCATTTACATCTTTTTAATTTTAATTAATTTTTTAGCCCTAGCCAGTTTGGCTCAGGGGATAGAGTGTCGGCCTGTGGACTGAAGGGTCCCCGGGTTCAATTCTGGTCAAGGGCACATGCCCAGGTTGCTGGCTCCATCCCCAGTGTAGGGCATGCAGGAGGCAGCTTATTAATGATTCTCTCTCATCATTGATGTTTCTGTCTTTCTCTCCCTTTCCCTTCCTCTCTGAAATCAATAAAATATATTTAAAAAAAGGAACCACAACACTAAAAAAAAAATTTAGTGGCATTTTGGGAGGAAGCGGAAAAGGGTGTTTTTGTTTAAGTGAATAGGGTATCTGCATTTTCAGCTCTCCACAGTGGTTGCATCAATGTCCATTTCCAGTAGCAGGTATATGTGAGTTTTTTATTCTTCCACGTCCATCCTAATACTCACTGATTAGTAATTCAAATTAATTGGTTGTTTTTTTTTGTTTGTTTGTTTTTTGCTATACTGATGGATGAGAGGTAGTGTAGTACCTTGTTTTAGGTCGCAGTGCCCTGATTTCTCAGAGATCCAGCATCTTACATTTACTGGTCCCTTTAGTTTCCTTTTCTGTGAATTGCCTGTTTTTTGTTTTTTTCTCTGCTCATTTTCTAGGTTGCTAGTTTTTTCCTTACTGATTTTTAGGAGTTATTTACCTTTTCTGGCTATACCTTCCCCTTATGTATATTGCAAATATCTTTAAATCTGTTTCTTAACTCTTAATTGTATTTATGTTGCCTTTTGTCACACAGAAGTTCTTGCAAAATGTTTTATTCTTCTTATAATCTGCTTTTACAATTTTTTCTTGTTCCTGATGTTGTGAATGTGTTATATATGATTTTGCCCCTTGATCAGATTTGTTAAAGGTTTGTAGCCACCTCTTTTTTAAAAAACATATTTTTATTGATTTCAGAGAGGAAATGAGAGGGAGAGAGAGATAGAAACATCATTGATGAGACAAAGTCATTGATTGGCTGCCCCCTGCAAACCCCCACAACCTAGGCATGTGCCCTGACCGGGTATCAAACCGCGATCTCCTGGTTCACAGGTTGATGCTCAACCACTGAGCGATCTCTTTTTAAACACTAAGTCTAGTTTTATTTTAGGACTGTATGGTTTTTTTTCTGAGTCTGCTTTTGGCTGCATCCAGCTGGTTTTGACATAGTATTCTCATTGATGTTTTTAATAATTTGTAATTTTAGTTCCGTTTTCATTAACTTGAGTCACTTATATAGATTTTGTAAATTTCTAAATAGATTTGACTGTCATCCTTTTGTGGTTTAAAATTTAGTTTTGTTGCATTATGGAAATAACTTTTTCATTTGAAAAATAAAGTTGATGGAACTAGGCTCATGATTTCTGAAGTTTTTTTCAAGCACTATGTTTTATAGATCAGGAAAGAAAACATTGCAGTTCCATTTTGCTTACATTCTGATTGTTGGCTTGGGGGTGAAGATGCTGAGACAGTGTTAGCACTAATGATGTTAGTGTGTTAAATAATGTGGAGGATGCAGATACACACACCTTGTCCCTCTTACGTCTTTGTTTTTCTCCATAGTACTTATCACTGCCTACTCTCCTATATTTTAACTTATGTTTGTCTTTCACCCTCACCCCCAAAGGTTTTAGGACATTCCAATTTCCTAAACCTGTGTTTGTTGCATAGTAAGCTCTTGGCATATATTTGTTGGATGGATGAATGAGGAAAGGCTTCTTTGATGACATGTCAGCCTAGACAAAAAAGGTGGGAAGTTGTGCTGGGAAAGTTTCCAGGTACAGAGGGGGAAAAAAAAAAAGGTAAAAAAAGTGTGAAAGCTTAGGGCCAGGAGAGAGCACAGACTTTAGTGACTAGAATGCATAGTGAATATTCTGAGAGGAGGCTTGGAGAGTGTTGAATGATGGCCAGGTAATGCCAGACCTTGTCACATTTTGGATGTAGTTTTAAAAATAATAGGACTTCATTATAGGTTTGAGCACTTAATACTTCAGTGTTTGTTTCCTAACTACAAGAATACACTCCTATATAATAACCACAGTAAAACTTTCAAAATCAGGAAATTAACATTGATTGAATATTACAATTTAATCCATAGAATTCATTAAAATTTTGTTGATTCTCCCAGTAATGTTTATGAGTTCAGGATCCTGCGTTGCTTTTATTTGTTATCTCTCTAGTTAGTTCTCTAATCTGGAACAGTTCCTCAGTTTTTCCTTGTCTTTCGAAGCCTTGACATTTTTGAAGAGTACAGGGTAGTTACTTTGTAGAATGCTGCTCAATAGGGATTTGTCTCATATTTTCTCCTGATTCATGCATTTTTGGGCAGTAGTACCAACGAAAGTGATGCTGTTGTCTTTTTAGTGCATATTAGGAAGAACACTAGTTGATTTGTCCTGTTGCTGGTAATGTTAACTTTCATCACTTGATTAAGATGGTATTTCCCAGGTTTCTTAACCTTACAGTTAATAAGTGTGTACTTAGTGTTTTATGGGAAGATACTTTGAGACTATGCAATATCCTATTTCCATCAAACTTTTGTTTTAGTATCCATTGATGAATCTTACCTGAATCCGGCATTATATTCTGAAAGGTGTCAAATGATGATTTTCCTAACTCCATTTTTTCTTCTACATTTATTAGTTGGCATTGTACAGTAGGGTAGAGCTTTTCCTGTTCATTTGTTTATATTATATACTTCAGAATGATGTTCTTATTTTCCTGAATAGGTTATGATTTGTTATTTTATTTAAATTTTTCTAGATTTGGCTAGTGGGAGCCCCTTAAAGCTAGTTCCTGTGTCCTTTTGACATGTTCTCATAATATTTTAAATACTTTCTTAACTTTCTGGCATAGCAAGATGTTTTAAGCTTGAATCTTCAATTTTCTCAGTCTCAGCCAAGGAGTCACTTACATCTCTAAGGAACACTGGCTCCTTTTAATGGAGAGCATTATTTGGGCATTAGGTTTACTTACTGCTACCTAAGTGTTCCTGCTTCTGGACCCCCTCAACATACACATTTAGGAAATATACACACATACACCCCCTACACCTGTTTTTTGTATTTTTCTACTATATTAAAAAATAAGTTCACATTGATACCTCTAATTCCAGTCCAAAGCCACAGAATTTATTCTCCCCTTAATAGTAACTCCTTTCTCTGATATTTAGAAACCTGGCTCCTATTATCTTCAGTGTATTTACTTAACTGTTCAATTCATCCTGTTTGTAGCCAAACATGGCCGTGCCAGCCAATAACTTGATCTCAGGCATGTTGCCCTTCTTCCAAAAAACTTGACCCCAGGTATAGCCATTGGAAAGATAGCCCTCATGAAGGGGTGGGGATTAGAGATGATAAGGGAAGGAGGAAATATTAGAGGCCAGTTAGAACGCTTGGCTTTGGATACCTCCTCATTCCTTTTGCTAGCTCATAGGTCATACTGATGAGGGGGGAAATGTATATATATACTTTTAAATATGTTTTTATTGATTTCAGAGAGGAAGGGAGAGGTAGAGAGAGAAACATCAATAAGGAGAGAGAATCATTGATTGGCTGCCTCCTGCACACCTCACTCTGGAGATTGAGCTCGTAACCTGGGCATGTGCCCTTGACCGGAATCGAACCTGGGACCCTTCAGTCCATAGGTTGATGCTGTATCCACTGAGTCAAACCAGCTAGGCCCCAAAACATATTTAAAAGTTGGCAAACCTGTTCTTACTGAGCAGTTTACAACCAGAGATATTAATTTGCTCAATGGATATAAACAGTTTTCCTAATAAGAAAATAGTATTTTAAGAAATATTTTGGTTTTTCTGTTTAGATATTTGCCTATAGGCAATAATAGTTGATCAGTATTTTTCTTTGGAGGGAGGATGAGCTTTTGTTCACAGTTTTTTCATTGCATGCATTTAGCTCTTGGTTTACACATTAAAAGATTATGTTCAGAAACTTCAAAATGGCTGATTAATTTGTGGGCCACTCAAGGTAAGCGTGAATAATGTTAGTATACTCTTTAACCAGTTGTATTTACATAAATGTGCATAATATTTAACTCTGCTAATTTTAACTTTTGCTCTGTGCTTTAGATACTATGATCAGATTTGTTCCATTGAACCCAAGTTCCCATTTTCTGAAAATCAGGTAAGTCATTTGTTTAATTTGTAAAGTTATATGATAATGGCAAGTCACCCATTTCCTCCCACTCATGGTATCTTTTTATTAAAATAAATGGTGCCTTTTCACTATCTTTAGGTTTTTATGAGACTTTTTAATACAAATTAGCTTAGGCCCATCTGATATAAATTTATGTCTTTTTGAAGAATGTTTCTTAGAATTATACTCATTTCATTCCTCAGTAACTTCTGTATATATATTTTAACTGCATTTTATATCCACTATTGACTGATTAATCTATAGTGTTCTTCCCTTTGGCTTTTACAGAATTAAGAGAGAAGCTATAATTCAGGAAGTATTAGTTTTAGTTTATGTACTTCAAAAAAGTATGTGTGTGTTTGGGGTGGGAGGTGGGTGGACAGGGAAAAGGCTGGGAAGGCTAAAAACTGGTGATAGGTATATTGGGGGTTCGTTATGTTATTCTCTCTAGTTTTTGTATATTGAAAATACTCTAACCTAGAGTTAAAAAGTTAAATTGCAACACATAATTTAAAAGAGACTAACTTCTTTTAAATCATTGTATGCAGAATATTTTAGAAGCATGAGATGCAGTGTTTTTAAAAATTTATGACGTAAACTCTTTATTCATGTATAACATGCATACAGAAAAGTGAAAGAAAATATGTATATAGCTTGAATCTTCATAAAGTGAATATACATGTATAACCACTACCCAAATCAAGCAGTAAATGATCTTATGCCATCCACCAAAGATAAACATTCTCTTACTTTTGTCACCATGGAATAGTTTTTATTTTATCTTCTGGGAAACCTGTAGTACTTACTTTATTGCCTGTGCTTCTCTTGGCTTATTTGACAATTAAGTTCCTATTCTGTTCAATCCATTGTGTGTTTACAAAGATGAATAAGACGGTGTATTTTGGAGAAGACAATATGTGTACAATTACTGATGCAGAGTGACCAATTGAAATAACTTAGTGCCAGTATTTTACTTAAAAAAAAAAAATTTATGGCCAAGAAAGGAAAAGGATTTGGTTGGTTAGAGAAGATAATGTTTTAGATAGGTTGAAGCTTTTGTCTTTTTCCTCATTATGAATTTTTCTCTGAAAGAGACTTAATATTTAATGAGGTTCAAGAAGGTAACATAATTTTCTGTTTTCTCTTTATCAAGATCTGCTTGACATTTACCTGGAAGGATGCTTTTGATAAAGGTTCACTTTTTGGAGGGTCTGTAAAGTTGGGTATGTAATTTTTTTAATAATAAATGATGGGAAACTTAGTCTAAACACTTTGTTTTAGGTTTTTAAAATTGCTCTTATAATGATTCTTTTTAAATAATAAACATTTTTACATTTTCTTTTCTTTTCAAAATTAACTTTTAATGCAATTAAAAAAAATTTGTAGAGAGCCTATGTCTTGCCAGGCACTGTCCTAGTTATAAAAGTGAATAAGACAGTTGTATTCAGACTGATTGGGGAGAAAGTTGAGCAGCCTATGCAAAGGGGAGCATGGATGAGGAAGTTAATTCTGCCTATTGAAAGTAAGCAATGTTTGAGTTAGGCTTTGAAGGATGAATTTGGTTTTTCAGATAGGAAATAACATTATAGGTAGAACATTTTAATCAAAGGTCAGAAGAGTGAGGCTTTTTTAACTGCTAGCTCAGCATATAACCTCTCTGTGCCTTAATGTTCTCATCTGTGTGAAGTAGGGAATAGTACTGTGAAGTACTCTTTATCTCGGGTTCTGGTGTGGATTAAATGAGTGAATTCATGTAAAGTCCGTAGAACAGTGCTCAGTAAATATGAGCTGCAATGAATAATATTAATATTACATATAACCATACATACATATGTTATATATACTACATATGTATTATAGAATATATGCTATGTACTGCTACATAACAATATTAATCACTATAAATTACATACAATGCATGTTAGTATAATACTAAATATTGTTAAGGCTTGAAACCATAGGTTGAATTGAGGGTTATGGAGGGAGAAGACATTGGAAAGTAGATTGTGAAGAGTTGTAAATATTATACTCAGGAGTTTTGTACTCTTTCTTCTTACATATTAATAGCTAACATTTATTGAGTACATCTCCCATCCAGGCACTGAATTCCCCAGGAGCCTAATGAGGAAAGGCACTGTTATTAACAGTTGAGCAAACTGATTTAGAAAGATTAAATGACTTTCTAAGGTTATATGGCAGGGATTTAATGAAGCCAGATATGAATCTAGAAAGCCCAACTCCAGAGACTAGGGGGAAACTGACGAGTTAGGAGTCTTGTGAGAGTCATTATGGATGAAATTAGACAAGAAGTGCAAGTGGGTCAGAAGAGAAGGGGTGGAATTGAGAGACATTTCAGAGGTGAAACTGACTGGATCTACTATTAGTCAGAGGGAAGAGTAGGAATTAAGGGTGGATGCTAATTAATATTTTTAACTTGGTTTGATCTGTTGACTTATTCCTTTCATTAGGTTGAGTTTGAGTTTTCTGTGTGATGTCTGGGTAGAAACTTTTCTTTGGCATTTGGAAATAATGGATTTAAAGCTCAAAAGAGGTAGATTTGGAAACAGTAACCACTAAATGATAATAAATTTATCTCCTCTGGTAGAGTATAGATTGGGGAAAGTGTGAAAACCAGAGCTAGAGAATACGACATTCAGGGGAAATAGTGGAAGAGATTCCTGAGAATGAGGCTGAGAAAAGCTTTCAGATCTCAGGAGAAACAGGGAAGAATAGAGACATTGACCTAAATGCCAGAAGAGTTTCAACAACCATGTAGTCCAGTGGCTCCTGAACCTGGTTGCACATTAGAATTACCTGGGGAAAATATTAAAGATACAGGTATATCTTTAAAGGTAAAGTTACAGAATTCCAGGTGTAATAAGAAGACATTTCAGGGTGAGGAACTGGAATCAGTATCTTTGAAAATATCTCCAGGTAACTTTGATGTTCATCCAGGTTGGAACATTATTGACAGTCATTATAGTAGGGGTCAAGTCATGTAAGGTTGGAGAAGTCACTGGATTTGGCAATGAAAGAAGTTTCACTAGGCACATGCCGCAGGAGCCAGATTGCATCAGCTTGCGAGCTGGACCAGAAGTAATGAAATGGAAACAGCAGCTATAGATTGTTTATTTCAGAAAACTTGGGGTAAAGATTTGGGAGTAAAGGGAGCATTATGCTGAGAGAGAGGCAGGGTCAAGAAAAGGATTTTTAGTGATATTGCGTCAAGCAAATTAGTAGGTTGAGAATAAGGAGCAGATGGTAAGAGAACTAAATGATAATTAAGTAAGATAGGTTAAATGATGAACCAAGCAAGTTCCTGGAAGAAGTGGGAGGCAAAAAAAAAAAAAAGCTTAAATAAAGCAGGAAGTAGTTCATGAAGGTATTTCTAGTAGTAAATATTAGAATTAAATGTCCTTTAGTAATGTCTTGATTAAATAAAGCATGGGGAACTCATTCATTAGAATATTGTGTAATTTTATATTCTAAGAATGATAATGTAAATATATATTTGACATTTAAAGCTATCTACATGGAATATTGAATAAACGGCCTATTACAGGGCAAGGCTGCTGCATTTTTATTAACAGTGGGTAACTCGGAGGTGTAACATATTTGGTGATTTTTATTTTCTTTTGTAGTTTTTTAAAACTATTTTAAGTTTTAAAAAAACTGTATAATCAAGCTATTTTCATTTTGAAAGGCTTTGTGTGAAAAGAACACAGCTCGGCCAGCATGGCTCAGTGGTTAAGCATTGACCTCTGAACCAGGAGGTCACCGTTAGATTCCCAGTCAAGGCACGTGCCGGGGTTGTGGCCTCAATCCCCAATAGGGGGCGTGCAGGAGGCAGCTGATCAATGATTCTCTCTCTTTTATATATATAAAAGAAGAGCACAGGTTAAAACGGGGAGGAGTTGAATATTACGAAAAAGAGCTATTTGAGGAAAGGAGAATTGAATATTTCTTTGAAAAACACACACAAAACACCTGATTTGTGTTTAGGTCTGATAAGAGAGATCATAAAGGAAAAGAGATAAGATTTAATTATAAGGAAAAAAAGTTTTCAAAAAGTATTTTATACATAAGAAATGTCAAAATAAAAGATAGACTACAGCTTGGGATGATAATGTTTATGGAAAATATAATAGACTGAGATATATACATATATCTTGTATATAAAAGATTACCCATATCTATTGTTTGGAATATATTCCATTCATCCTGAGGTTCATTGACTTTCTGTTTTGTAGTGGGACCAGTTGCTTTATATTTAGCCATGGCTTTCCTATTGCCGTTTGTGTATATGCGTGTGTGTTTTGAAGTTGCTCCACCACCATACATTTTCTGTGCTTTTATCATATTCTGGAGATTTTTGTAAGCTCTCAACCTTTTTTTAGTTTTAATTTTAATATTTTTATTGATTTCAGAGAGGAAGGGAGAGGGAGAGAGAAACATCAGTGGTGAGAGAGAATCATTGATTGGCTGCCTCCTGCACACCCCCCACTGGGAATGGAGCCCTCAACCCGGGCATGTGCCCTCACTGGGAATTGAACCGTGACTTCCTGGTTCATAGGTTGTCCCTCAACCACTGACCCACGCCAGCCTGCCTGTTTTTTTTTTAAATTAAAAAACATTTTTTTAATGGTAGCTTTCTAAATGGATGTGAGGCGTGTAGATCCTTGATCAAAGTTGTATTTTAAGTAAATTTGTTAGTCTTCTGAGAGACGTATTGGCATAACGGAATGAGGCATGGAAGGCCAGTCAGGAGGTTCTGGCTCTGGCATTTGCTTAGGTTTGTAGTAGTGAGGAATTGGTTTAAATGTGGTGGGAAGGTATACTTTGTAGAGAAGTGATGGAAAAATAGAAATAATGTATTTGAATTTAAGTGAGCAATGACGTGAAAATGACTTTTCATTTTGAACCTGACTAATAACAGTGTGGACTTAAAGGGAAGGAAAGAATAATATATTGATCTGTTGAATTTTAGATGATGGGAATATTGTTATGAAAATAAATGCCTGGCAGGGCAGCTATCAATTTGGGAGCCTATGATGGGTGAGAAAGCAGGGCTGGCAACTTGTTTTTGGGAGAGGCAACGGGATAGAGGTTATATTATTTCTCTTTGAAACATTAATTTTCTTCAGAAAAAATAATCTGATAAATTTTCCTTCTCAATTTTTTACAGCTCTTGCAAGCTTAGGATATGAAAAGAGCTGTGTGTTGTTCAATTGTGCAGCCTTAGCTAGCCAAATTGCAGCAGAACAGAACCTGGATAATGATGAAGGATTGAAAATCGCTGCTAAGCATTACCAGGTATGCAGAACAGTAGTTACTACATAATGATCAACACTAAGTTGGATTAAATTGAAAATAATTTGCATTTAGGTTTACAGATATTTCTTTACACACAGATATTTTCTTGAAAAGTATATTTTTTAATGAATTGATTTATATTTTTGAGGTTCTTAGATAAACTACGTACTATAAACCAGCTCTCATTTTCCTCACCATTGTATACCCAGCACCTAGCACAGTGCCTGGCACATAATGGCTCAATAAATTAGGTTCAAATTATAAAATGTATGAAATAACCTCATTTAAAGATTTTGTGCATTATTTAATTTTAATTTTTTTTTTTTTTTTACAGTGAGACACTTGTAAAGCTTCACACAAGTCACAAAACTTAAGACCTCTTAGCAAGAAAAGTTTAACTTTGACACTTGTGGAGAGGTCATATTTAAATGTGGCCAGATATGTAATGTTATGCTATATTTACTAATAAGGCATATGATTTTTGTGGCAATTGTTTATTATTTATTTAACTTCCATTTTTTGTTTCAATTTAAAGAACAATAAGTGATTATTAAGTGGTAATATCTATAATTTTGTTTTCATGTTTTATGTTACCTTATAATTTTCTGAGTTTTTGTTTGTTTTTGTTTGTTTTATTGCTTAAAGTATTACAAAGGGTATTACATATGTGTCCTTTTTTTTTCCGCCGCCCTTGACAATCCCCTGGCCTCCCCTACCCCCCCAGTGTCTTATGTCCATTGGTTATGCTTATATGCATGCATACAAGTCCTTCAGTTGATCTCTTACCCCGCTACCTCCTGCCCCCCATCCCTCCCTGGCCTTCCCGCTGAGTTTTTTCATATACATTATTTGACTCTCAGGTAAACCATGTGAAGCATGTTATATAAGTCATTCTCTTTTTACAAACAGGAAGACTAAGGGCAGAAGTGTTAATAAAGTGGTGCATTGGGGTTTCAGGTGTCCTGATTCCAACCAAATTTAATGGAATTCCAAATGGTCCTTCCAGTGTCTCCCATGGCTCTGGAATTTGATTGTCTCAGAGGTGGAGTCTGATTTTTCCCATTGTTGAAGTTTAGGGGAGAGGTGAGGAATGCTGTTTTAGAAAAGTGAGAGGAAAACATACTTTAAGCAAATAATATACTCCATATTGTTGCTTACCATACAATCAGATGTTAAGTATGATGCATATATACCTTTTCTTTTTGAGGCCATAAATGGCAAATGTTTTAAAATGCAATAATGAAGTAAATTTTTATTTAGTTTTCTACTAGTTGTAATTGTTAACTGGCATGTGAGATCTTAGAGGGAGGGCATTCTGAATTAGTGAGGACACATTCCATTCTGTGAGTCACCTCTGATTCACAGCAGGACACCTAGTGATAGAAAGATAACTAATGGTATTACAAGACCTAGATTCTTGTCTAGGCTGTTTGCCACCAAGAGCTGCATGTCCTGTCTAACTTCTTTACCTGCTGTAGGCCTCCAGTTCCGTATCTGTGAATGAGAGACTGGTTTCTTTGCTGTTCTAATCTGTGATTCTGTTAGTTTACTAAGCAGGGTCAGCTGATCACTCTCTGCAGATCCTCTGGTTTTATGATACTTCATGACTGCAGAAAGCATCATTTTCACATGAAACAGTTAACTTTTTGTTATCTCTGCATAGCTTATCTGTGTAACCCACAAAACCTTCTAATCCCAGACTGGCTTCTTTCTTTTTACTAGTGTCATTTGTCTCATGAAAGCAAAGTGATTTTAGTGTTAATGTTAGAAAAATATACCGTATTTGCCGGCGTATAAGACGACCCCCTAACATTTCCACTCAAAATACAGAGTTTGTTATATACTCGCCGTATAAGACTACCCCCTCTTCCGCACACCTTCCACACACCAAATAAAAGGTAAAACAATATCAGATTTGATTTTAACATTTTAATTTATATTCAAATGCTTATGACATGCAGGAAAACTGTCACAAGGCTGTATGTAATCAAACATATACATAAAACAGTGCAAGTTTATTACCGGTAAACATAGCGGTATTTCACTAAAGAAAACACACTCTATAGACTGGTACCGTAGATGCTTCTCAGGAACACAGGCAAGCAGCCCACAACCTAGAGGGACTGTCAATGATAGAAGAAAGATAACAAATAGAGGTAGAGAGCAAGTGCCGGGCAAGTCCCTAGCAA